AAATTTGTAAGATCATAAACACCAATTTGAACTACTAATATTATTGCATATTGGTGATTATTATTGGATGGTGTTTTAATTATAATAATATGTGTTTTATACTTCACTCAAAATTTTTATTGTAATATGCTCTTTGGGGTGCTGTTTGATGTTTCATTTTTATTTTTAAAAACCCAATTTTATGATGTTCTTACATAATGTAAATTAAATAATATAATTTCTAGTCTTGGAGATCTGACTTGGAGCTCTAAAAACAAATTTAATTTTATGCATTTATTTAAATTATAATTTTGTAGCAAAAATTCCCACAGCATGTTATTTTTTCAGATCTAATACAGCTAATAAAATCAAATTATTTTTTATGTATTTTTCAACTTAATAATTTATGTTAACTTGTTTAAGTAATTACATTTTTATGATGTACTATGAAAAAATAATAATATCTTGGTGTAAACTTCCCAATTCCATTTTAGTGAAGTGTACAATTATTTTGTATAATTTTAACTAATCAAAAATATAATTGGTATTGCTTTTTTACATTTACTGAGTACTCATTTTATAAAATTCTATATCATTAATGGTTTAAAATGTATTTGACATTTTATTACCATTAAATACTTATACTTTATCTATAAAATGCATATTTTAATTTTAATCGTTATTTTAGAAATAATAATTTTTCTATTAAATTCATCAATTTCTGCAGTAAAAAATAATTTAACTTATGCAAAAATCAATTATACTATTTTTGTATAAAGGAATCAATGATTGTAAAAACATGAGTTTCAATGATCATTTTATAGAGCTATGTTCTAGTCATGTGTTTCTGCTAAGCTCATAAATAATATAATTTATACAAATTTTACTGTAAAAATTGCAATAGATAAATGACACTAAGAAGAAAAAAAAACACCAAAGAAGAATTTCGCAAAATTAGTCAATCCTCTAAATGTTAATGGGCTACCCCTTTGTTGTATACCTAATAATAAACACCTTGAAAATAAAAAATTTGAGGTAGAACGAATAAATTGATAAAAAAAAGCATAAATTACTAAAACCATGAAGTTTTTGTTTAAATATTGTAAATAATATATCTATATTCTAAGATTAGCACTGTAATCAGAGATGTATGAAATTAACTCATTACCACCTTATGAAGGAAAAAATCGCNAGCACTGTAATCAGAGATGTATGAAATTAACTCATTACCACCTTATGAAGGAAAAAATCGCTGGTTTGTGAAAACACGTAGTAAGGATTAATGTTAATCACATACTTACAGAATGTAGAAAACATGCTGAAGAACGTAAAAACTCGAATCTATCAATACATCTGAAAACAATTTTAGGGTCTGATCCAGAAGACAACACAAATCTGGTCGAACAGATCTAACTGACAACTTATTTTATCTGTTACACCCTGCTTATGTTGTATTTTTTATACTTTGTCAAAGAATTGTGTGTTATTTTTTAATTTTTAGATCATATATGATCTACTTAAAATTGTATACTTTTTTTAATCAATTTTTATACTATATTTAAAATAATTTTAAAGTTATTTTTCGCAAATACAAAAAATATTTTGAAAATCAAAGGTTTGCACTTCTGGGATATTTTTCTGTGTGTGTCCTTAAGTATATTAATTATATAAAGAAATTTTTCAAATGTTCCTTAAGATTTACTAAAAAAAAAAACAAGAATTTAGTAGTACATTTATATTCTGAGAAAATCCACTTTAAAACATGTATTTTTCGTTGAATTAAACGAATATTATTAACGTTCAATTATAAAATTAAATCCAATCGTAAATCGCCGCTTTGTTTTTAATTGTTATAAGGTTAACATGTTACTCTTAAAATCATAAATTATATTTTAGGTCATCTAGAAGTAATATTTTCAAGAATATGTTCAATAATATACAAGCCACTTTGAGCAAAAACTAAAGTCTTTCAATACACTTATCTACCATTATTATTTGCAAAATATTATAAATTAAAATTAAGATTTATATGTTACGGTTCCTTGCAAATCTAATTTTTGGCAGAATTGTTTTTAATATCAACTAATACATTTGTCACGCTTAGCCAAAAAATTTTCACGCCTATAACGTCTATATTATATGTTTAAAATTAAGAATTAACATGTAGAATAATGAAATAATAAAATTTAATTTAGAAGCTTAGTATTGCTGTGTATACTAAAAGAGTGGTTAGGCACTAACATTCATTATTAAGGTCAACGAGATAAGGTTATTAGGACATTAGATAAATTTCCTCTGTTCTATAATACAACAAGCGAGATTGAATTTTGTTAAAGGGAGCAATGCTGTTGTTTAGAGTACTAAATGCAGAGTTTATAAAAATAAAGCTCACCGAAAAATATATTTGGAAAAAATTCAATTTTTTATTCATTTTTGTCTGTTGATATACAAATTTTTTAGTTATCCTATAAAAATAATACCTAATGTCATGGCGGTTTTTTATGCTATAAAATCAAGTTTTGTCAATCCTGGTCAGTGGCGTACACAGAAATTAAATTTGGGGTGGGGAGTTTGAAATTTAAAGAAAATCAGATGTGACACTGCCCATATTATTTGCTCATGAAAATTTCTGTTTTCGATTACTTATTGTGGAAATATTTATACTATGATATGATCTTTTTTATTGTTATTACTTATTGTTTATCGTCCAACATTGTCGCTTAGCTTATAAATTTTTTTTTTTTTGGTGGGGGGTCAACCCCCCCCCCCCACCATGCGTACACCAGTGATCCTGGTTAAATGATTAATTTCTAAACTAATTGGAACCATATTCAGTTCGGTAATATTCGGAAATCTGGTTTCTTTTTTTTATCAGTATTTTGAGTAATTTATAATAAAGTAAAAATTAAATTTCTTTTGGTATGATATATTTTATTATAAAGTAAATAAATTAAAAACATAAAACTACAATTTATATTAAGTTAAATTTTTTTTGAGAATAGTATATGCCAGCACGTTTTAATTCGTTGAACTTATGTTGTTCTTGTTTATACTAGTGACGATCTTAAATAGTGATGGGCACTATCGAATACATTTGACTACCGGATATATTCGATAGTCTTTTATAAACTATCGAACTACCGGTTACAAACTACTTTATATTGTACTCGATAGTTTGATAGCCAAAAATATTAAATCACGCAAATTTGCATTCAAATATGATATTTATCTTTTCATTTAGTTATTTTAACCGTATATGCTGAATTGTAAGAACAGTTATAGAAATGAATGTTGAAGGAAGAAGAGGTAGAGGAAGACCAAAAAATAGATGGAGGAATGCTGCTGAATGCGATTTGAGGAGAGCTGATGTGAGCATAAATGATGTGGGAGATCGTGTCAAATGGAAGTTTAGGATAAGGGTACCCCAAGTAGTTGGGATTAAGGCGAGGAAGAAGAAGAAGAACCGTTTTGTTGATAATAAATATTATCGTAAAACATTCGTTTTTGCCGATAGTTTTAGACTATCGGTAGTATTCACTCAGTAGTGCTCATCACTAGTTTAAACTTAGTTTTATCTTATAAGACAAAAATATTGATGTGAAGTTTGGAGAATAGAATGATCGGGTACAATATTTACAGTTCGGATAATCAAAGTTCTACTGTAAATAAAAAAAAGTAACCAAAAGAACAAAGTTTCTTTGTAATTAAATTATTTTTTTATTATAAAAGTAATATAACTCCAATACTTGATATTTCAAGTAGTTTAATTTCTAATCTATCGAGTAATTTGTAATTTAATAACAATAACACGGTCATAATAAATTTTAATCTTCTTGCCTTTGCCACATTTTTTTTAAATTACGATGAAATTCAGCGTTTGGAACGTTCATTAAAAAATGAACGCGATAATTAGAATATTTTTAAATGTTCACCTCCAGTCTATATATAATTGCCATTACCATAAACGAATCAATTAAAATGTTTATAAAAATAATATAAAAGTCATATTTCTAGTGGCGTGAAGGGGTTAGTTATAGAAGGGTACATAAATAAAAACTTACTAAAATTTACTAGATATATAAGTAGTGTATCTATTATACAAATTCATATTTTTCAAATTATTGTCATTTATTTCTTTCGGCAGTATCAATAGTAGAGTATGCCTGTTAACTTCGATGCCTAGAAGGTATTAATTTTACTATAATGTGTTTTTTTTTGTGTGTGTCTGTGAATGCTCAATCTCAGATCTCGCTAGACCAATTTTGATGAACAATACGTCAAAAGATCACATATTGTATCTAGTCGAAAATTGAAAAAAAAATTCCTCGTTCCCCATAAACGGGAGAAATCCCTAAAAATATTACAAATTTAAAAATTCCTAATTTTCGACATTTTTTTCAATTTTTTTGACTTAAAATTGCCATAACTTTAATAAAAATAACCAAATCAATATAATTTTTTTTATAGATATCTTAGGTATTTACCTATCATTTGATATATTTTTGTGAACATTTGGCCATTTACCAGCCCACAGGAAAGGTTTTAAAATGGCAACTTTTTCAACTTAACTTTTGAAAATGTTTCGAAAATACTGACACTTATATATACCTTAAATTAAAGCTTATGTAATATATTTTATTTAAAACAAAAAAAATTTTACCTCTGGACTTGTCTCCATAGTTTTCACTATGAACATCAAGGTTAAAGAAAAACGAACGATTTCCGTGAAAATATTCTCGGTTTTATATTTTTTAATTTATATTGCTATAACTTTTGGGAAAAAAGTATGGATCAATATTAATATTTTTTTATAAATAATCTTTATATACGTCTTTCATCTGACACATTTTTTTTTAAATAGAATCATATCCCTTTGTCTTCATGGTGAAAAAATGACTAGCATATTTAAAAATATGCTATTTTTTTGTTAAAATTCGATGCAAAGCTGAGAGGGTATTTTTTTGTAACTATCATTTATTTTCTCTGCTTTAACTTGACCTACTTTTTTCAACGATACGACAAATGATTACAATTCGTATCTAGTTGAAGATATTACCCTCAAAAATGGAAACAAAATTCTAATTCATCAATTAAACAGTTAGTTATTCCATGTTTTCCATAAAGACAATTAAAATCATTCATTTATAATGTTTTCAAAGTATTTATTGACGAATCAAGTTTGATATGATAGGTTTCAACTACAAAATTAAATAATTTTACTTAGTAATTTAATAATTTTTTTACTCTATTTGTGTGTGCTACTACTAGACTATAATATTCCAAATAAATTTAATTACTATAATTATTATTTGTTCATATATTTTAATTATAAATTAAATAACTAATCGGGATAAAATTAAGGGAATAAGGGTTATTGTTGCTTTTGAAATAATCTACCAGTTTCTTAAAATTAAACACTATCTATAGATTTGCATCGAAGCGTTTCTTATGATAGTGATTTTAATCACTGTCAGATATCATCTATACTTGTGCCAACTATGCCACTTTCATACTGTGCCGCGACCCCACTTTGCTACCGTTTTTAGCTTCGATGCGAAGCTGAGAAGTTATTGGTTTTACTATGATGTGTTTTTTTTTTGTCTGTTACCACTTTTTCTCAGCTCTCACCGAACTGATTTCTTTCAATGATACGTCAAACGATCACAAATCGTATCTAGTCGAAGACATTACCCTCAAAAATTGAAAAAAATTCCCTCGTTCCCCGTAAATGGGGGAAACCTCCAAAAAAATTACAAATTTAAAAATCGTTAATTTTCAAAATTTTTTTTACTTAAAATTGCTATAACTTTTTTAAAAATAACCAAATCAATATAATTTATAATTTTATAATATAATTTTTTTGTATAGATGCATGATATCATTACCTTTCATTTGGTACATTTTTTTTTTTTATGTGACCCTTACTTGCCCACAGGGGGGGATTTAAAATGACAACTTTTTCACAAAAAATTTACTTTTTCAACTTAAATTTTGGAAGTGTTCCGGAAAGTCTGACACTTTTATATATATCTTAAATTAAAGTTCATGTAATATACTTTATTATGGTAAAAAAAATTTCGGACTTTATTTTATCTTCATGGTGAAAATGACTACCGAATGCTATTATTGTGTGAAAATTTTCGATTTTGTATTTTATATTTTTAACTTTATTATACTATAACTATTTGAAAAATGTATGGATCAATACAATTTTATCATGAGAAGTAGTATTTATATACATATTTCATTCGACATACTGTTTTTTCAAATCGGACCATTTCCCTTTAATTGAGGGGGTTAATAATGAACTAGCAGATCATGTAGCTTTTGGAATAATTCACCAATTTTTTAAAATTAAACACTATCTAAAGATTTGTATCGAAGCGTTTTTTTTTGATAGTGATTTTAATTACTATCAGATATCATTATACTTGATCCAACTATGCCACATCACCACTGTGCCGCAACCCCCCTGTGCTGGGTTTTTTTTTTAATTGTATTTGTGTGTGCTACTACCAGTCTATAATATTTCAAATTTTTTAGTAACATGATGCTATTATAAAGGATTTCTAAACAATTTTATTGAATATACACAAAGCGATTTCACCACAACTGCAATTTCTCATGAGATACTGAGTAATTTTTAATTAGTAGCAGCAGGTAAACAATGCATTAATACTTAGCATGTTTTTAACACGATTACGTTTTAAACGTCAATAATATCAAATATTTATTTTCATTTTCATTATGCCAATTCGACATTAGTTCGTAGTGATCATAATATTATTCTTAATTATGCNTGCCAATTCGACATTAGTTCGTAGTGATCATATTATTCTTAATTATGCGTGAATGGCCTAAAATTGTTCAAATTCATTAAAAATGTGAATTTCGTTTCATAATTTTCTAACTAAGTTAAAATAATATTACACAACTTGACTTTACATGATATTCCTCATACAAAAATCGAACCAAATTATTTTTGACAGTAAATTGGAAGCATTGTTACATTTCATTGAATTTTTGTCTACTTCTAAAAGTATATTTGGTGTACAATTCATATTTGTCTCACGACTTGTGAGACCCATGAATGCAACTTGTGAGGGTGTTGCAGCACCCTAAAATAAACAATTTTAAACATCTTTGTGGTTATTTTTATAATTAAATATGTACGACAATAAGGCGAAATAAAAAATTATATTAATATAATAGTTTATTAGAAAACAATTTTTTAGATATATAATCATTAAAATTAATTAAATTCTGAATATTTCCATTGTAGAATCTTTTTAAACGCCAAAAGTTAATTAGAAATGATTACTATGATTTTTATTTAAGTGATCTATTACGATAAAAATGTAAAAAAATCTAACTTTTCTGATAAATATACTGTAAATAGTAATTATAAAATTTGCTGACAGCATATTAATCTTAACAATTTCATTTATCTATTTAATGTCAATTTCAAACTTGCAAATTGAGCACTTGTTATGATAATAAAATTATTTTTTTTTTAAATAAAACTTTCACTTTAAAGGACAATAAAAAGTAGGTTCAAAATTATTTCTTTTAATATATTAAAAATCAAAAGAATTACTAATCTGGGTTTAATTAAGGAAATAGAAGTTGATGTTGCTTTTATAATTATCCATCAATTTTTAAAAATTAAACACTATCTATAGATTTGCATTGAAGCGTTTCATATGATAGTGATTTTAATCACTGTCAGATTAAATCTATACTGGACCCAACTATGCAACGTCTCCACTATGCCGCGACCCCACTGTTTTGTTATGTAAGTGGTTGAATGGGTCCGATATGGGCAATTGTCCCCGAGATATATTTCTTTAATGTCTAAAATATTTTTTAAGGGGCTATTTTTAACCTATCTTAATATCTTCACATAGGTGAAGTCTCGAATAAGCCTTCGTCTGGTCAGTAATTATTTAAGAAATGTTACTCAGGGGTGTTTCGGCTCCCCCCCATGGGTTTGTGAGCATAATATAATTTCAGCACTCCCAGCATTTTTGCCTAGTTGCGCCTGTGATCACACCCATTAATATCTGCTTCACTAATCTACTCTTAGTATAATTTTCCGTGGCTTAAAGAATATTTATTTAAAACCAGTCATTAACCCACTTAATTTTAAATAAGAAAACCTCCTTATAGTTTTACTACAAATAAAAAATCTTTATTGTGGAAAACATATTTTTGAAATGCGTCCAACTTAGGATTCTCACTCAATCAATAGGTTATAATATGAAAAAATAAATAAAACAATATAAAATAAAAAACNTTATAATAAGAAAAAATAAATAAAACAATATAAAATAAAAAACTAATAATATAATTTATTGACGTTTATTAGTTTTTAGAATGACATTAGTATTAACTTTAAAATTGGCTTCTATTTCAATCTTATTAAGACTGTTCCTTGCATATTCCATATTATTTAATTTAAAGGATATTTTTCTACAATTGTATGTTTTAGAATTTTATTTAAAAATAAAAAATTTGATGTTAATGCTTATTTTTGTAACACTGCACTTACTTTTTATAATTAGTTATTAAAAATAACCTCCTTATAATTAATAGTTAATAAATAAAATCATTAGAATTTGTTTAAAATAGATAGTATATTAAAAACAATTAAATAATAATGAATAATTACGAGTAATGCTGTCATGTCATTCACTTCACATAACATCTGTAAAACAACAAACATAACATCAAAGAAAAAAGGACAATCATTTGTTTGATATTTTTATAAGAACATGATAAAATACATGACTCCATATTGATTGATTGAATCCATNCATGACTCAATATTGATTGATTGAATCCACAGTTTCACCCATGGGTTTGTCCAATAAGTAGATTTCCTGTTCAGTTGTTATTTGAGCTCTAAGCTGATGAAACAAAAGCCTATAACAATCGCCATAAATAGATAGTAATACAAATATCAAATAAAATAGCTGAAAAAATAATTTTAAAGAAAAAAATTGTTATCAACAAATAGAGAAATTAGTTATTTTTTAAATAATAANCCAATAAGTAGATTTCCTGTTCAGTTGTTATTTGAGCTCTAAGCTGATGAAACAAAAGCCTATAACAATCGCCATAAATAGATGATAGTAATACAAATATCAAATAAAATAGCTGAAAAAATAATTTTAAAGAAAAAAATAGTTGTCAACAAATAGAGAAATTAGTTATTTTTTAAATAATAATAATAAAAAAAAATTGAATTTGAATTTAGCAGCTATAAATATTTTAATCATAATTCATAAAAGAATTATTTTAGTATCATGTTAACCAATTCCATACATCATTAGATAATTTCTAATGAACATTTGATGTAATGGAAAATTGATAACAATTGAAAAATTGACTTTATTCTTAAATTATAAGAATACAAGTATGATTATCAGATCATATTTAAAAAAAAAAAAAAGAAAAAATGATTTATTTATCTAATAGGATGATCAAAATTATTAAGTATATGCTAGATTAATAGAAAATTAAAAATATTTTATTCAGCTATTTTTATTTGCATTATTAATATTTTGAATGGAGATTGATGTGTTTTCATTGGAATTGATCTCAGACAATTCCTTACGGACNATTGGAATTGAGCTCAGACAATTCCTTACGGACAGCTTTAATTGACTCCAATAAAGAATATACTGTTCTGTTGTGATTTTCATACTTTTCATATGCTTCTAAAAATATTTTTAATTGTGCCTCACGTTTTTCAATTTCTGAATCACAACTTTTCATTAAACTTGATAGTTTAAGAATGCAGTCATTAAATTTTAACCTAAAATATATGTAAAATATTATGGCAATATAATTATTTAACTATTTTGTATATTTATACTTAAATATTACTCAGCGAATGTTTTTTAAATTTAATATAAAAATTCATACTTATTATTTTTTATTGACACTGAATCAACTTTATTTATACTATCAACTTCAGAGATATTTTGTTTAGAACTGATCCTTTTTAAACAATCAACGTCATTGTTGATCTCTACAGAAATATTCTTTTCAGCTTTACTCTACAAAAATATATTTGAATCTGTTTATAAAATATTCTTTGTCTTTTAATTAAATTTTAGGTCATTCCAACATACAGTATTTAAAGTATTGTCATTTTCACTAGATGAATCATCACTTTCTGAAGAGCTAAATGTTATTTTAATAACCATTGTTTCATCAATGCCTTCTGAATTTAAATTTGACAATAATATACTTCCATTTTTAACTATTTTCTTAACTTCTGGTTTAACAGAGTGTTCATATTTTTTTTCATCAATATTTTCTAACTCAGTAGTTTTAACTAATACATTATCAGTATTAAAACATTTAATTGAGTTTTTTCTTTTCTTACGTATTTTCCTTTTCTTATTTAGTGGATCAGCTAATGAATCACTTTGAGATCTTTTGGTTTTTCTATTTTCTGTACAATGATTATTTTTTAATTCATTAATTGAGCTATTTTTATTATTAGTTTTGAGTCCTATTGATTCAAGTGCAGCAGTTCTTAGCAGTAATATATCTTGGTCATCACTCTTTTGACTAGAATTATTTTTAATGGTTCGTCTCACCATAGATTGAAGAGCAAGTAAACGAAGCTGTTCAGCATCATCAGCTTCTTCATTTGTGGCCATAATATTTTGAGATAAATTTTCTTTTATATTCATAAAAACTTTATTAAATGGAATAACTTTCATTGCACAATCATACATAGTAAGGCCGTTTATTATATTGATTAGTCATTTTTATTTTTATCACCTAAATTAAACAAAATTTATAATTATTATTAAAATTATACAGGGGTGATCTATTTATCATAACTCACTCAATTATTTAAAAAATATTCATCTGATGAGGAGTGTGGCAGCTAAATGTCATATAATAAAAATAGTCATACCCGTATTTCACTGACAGTCTATACTGTTAATATATGTTAATTAGATTATTTGTTATTTTATAAGCTAAATAAATATATATAGACGGTGATTTGTAAATTTGATTTGAAAGGGCGTAACCCACAATTATGAAATTCAGGCGTTATGCCCTTTCTACAAAACACCGTTGATATGATGACACCATTATAATATATAAAGGATAAACAGAAAAAGTTCTTGATTATTGATTAATCAAAAATTATAAGTATCTAAGAAAAAGCCAAAAATAGAAATATATTCCTGAAGTTAATGTTATTAATTAAGTAATTAAGTAGGCTATGATAAATGGACCTCACTGTAGATGCTATTTTTGTATTATTAAATTAAACCCAGCATTATGATTTGAAATGTTAAAATTAAATGGTTACTACTATTTTCCATCTTACATCAACAGATTACACAATGATATAACAAAATAAGGTAACTAATAATTGAATTTTAAATTATATAATTAAAATTAAATATACTTAATCCCTCTAAAAAAATCTAGTGCCGTCTTGAGTGTTTTGTGCAAAAATTATTTATAGAGCTCCATAATAAGGTATGATTTTTATTATAAATATTTTTTTTGCTAAAATATTATTAAAGTAAAAATATTATCACAAAAATGTTGAAATATTTTATAACCTCTCCATGCTTAAAAAAAAAAATTAACAATATTCACTTGGTAATTTTTAAATAAAATTAAAAACAATCTAATTTTTTCAAGATTTGCAATATTATAATTAAAATGTTTGTATGAGTTTTTCAGTAATTGTTGGCACTACACCTCTAAATTTGGCTTATATAAGAAAGACAAAATAAATATCTATTATTAACTGCAGTGTAGTATATTTCCTATGTTTACATATCTTCATGCATTATGAAATTTTAAGATAATTCTTTTTTACATTACTATTTTCAAATTTGTTGGTTTTAATAGATTTGTTAAAGAACAATTTATTTTATACTATGTTTTATTAAAAGTAATTATATTTCTAAATAAAAGTTAATAATAAATTTAATAAAATCTTACAAATATCATTACTACCTTTTCTATCTGAAAATTGACACATGAGACCAGGGCATAATGTTTTAAGATATGAGTGATTCAATAATAATCAGCAACAGATGAGTTGAAAATTTATATTTATATCAGAAAAATTGTTATTAAAATCGATGTATGAGGAAAAAAAATAGGTGTTACGTAGGCAAAGACAAAGTTGTTATTGATATAGATGAACTTTCAATGATTGAGCAATTACTAATTCTTTAGTAAACACATAACACGAATTCGCATTAGTAGGTTGTAAAATAAATATTGTTATCATTGGTGGGAAAAAATAAGTCGTGATTTTATCAAAACTTATAATATTTTGATAATAATATTACAAAAACATTTGGTAACACTGAGCAAAATAAATATATATTTGGTGAAGTCTCAAATTTAACTGACAACGCCTAAAACTTTTGATACGATTATCATTGTGTTAAAAAGGAATTTGTTTAATAATTAATATCTTCTTTAACTACATTTAGAGCATATTTTTTTATAATATATAATTAACAAGAAAAATTAAAAAATAATTTTTCAAAACATTAAAATAACCATTATTTTACAATAAATGTTGATAGGTCGAGAACTGTGTAATGACAAGTAATCATTGATTAAAAGTACTTTTAACTTAATACATTAAATGGATATGTCGTGAGGGTGGGTGCGTCGTATTTATACTCCGATCGTGTTCCATACACATGCATTAAAATCCTTGTTACTCAATGAGTACTTATCTTATAATTAAATTTAACCCATTAAAAATGTTGTAAAAGCTTAAAAATAAGTATTTTGAAATAAAAAAAAATTTTTATTTTCTTTTTTCTTTTTAGTGATAAATAATAAAAAATAAAAAACGTAGTTAAACAAGGCAATACTTATTATTATTATAAACTTTTAACATAATGATAATTGTATCAAAAGTTTTTAAGTGTTATCAGTTAGGTCTAAGATATTCTGAATATTGTACACACTTATAAAACGCGATCGATGATTTTTATATTGCACAACAACTAAAATATAGTTAAATTTAACTATACCATCTTAAGTACAATATTTGCAGATCATTTTATATTTATTAATTAGAAAATATGAGTTGTCACTATAATTAATTAAACAATGTATATTATTTTATTATATAAATATAATAAAACGGAATTATTTTTCTGTATTCAAATCCTGTAGCAAAAAATAATGTTTTATAACATTATTTTTTAAAAATGCTATAAATAAATTATTTTGTTTAATTATTGAGTAACTAAGCCAACTCAAGTATATTAGTTTGTGCCGATTAATGAATTACTATACCAATAGGAATTAAATTATTCATCTTGAAATTTGACATTATTATTACTATTAAAACTTTTGAATTTCAATAACGAGATAAATATTTATTTAATTAAATTTTCAATTACCTGTATTTGACACAAACGCAGCTTTTAAAATGTAATTTTCATTAGTATAAATCTTCTTATAAAAAGTGCAATAATTTTTTGATTTTAATTAGGTTAACATAACAATACGTTACTTTTTTAACAAAAATAAAAGAATTATTTAAATGAAAATTATGTATACATGAAAATAAACATAAGAAGGAAAAAGTAGTAACCATTTTGAATTATACTTTTTATAAATTATATTTAAGTAAAATAATATCATATTAGTTGTTATTTAGCTTTAATGTCATATTAAAAAAAAAAACTTGTTAGTAGCCAACACGTAAATTAGAGTATTTTATAATTTTTTAATAAATTATATAATACTAATTTATTTCTGCTCCCTAGGACATTGAGAGTATTTTTTTCAGTTCGAAACCTCCGTGGGTGTAATTACAATAAGAGCTTCACAATGCAACTGAATTTTAATGGTATTGTTAAAGGAACAAATATAAAAAATGACTATATTTATTATACTAGACTATGCCCTCTTTAGATTCTCCAGGTTACGCACAAATTTTGTTGCTACAAACCATAGGTTGTGCCTATGCATTGTGCTTTACAATTCATCCAAACATTAATTTGAAATCAATGATTAAATAAACTTGTAAACATAGTAGTAAACGTGTTTATAATTCAATTTTCGATTGTATTAGAACAAAAAATCTCATGTAATTACCAGCATAACTAGGGACGCATTTTGGAATTCTGCCGCTCTTAAAACCTTTCTTTTTTGCTCATTGAAACAATTTTTCTCTATTTTTTTTTATTTGAATGAACCAAAGAAAGGTATAACCCTAAATAAACTTATTATTTAACAAATATAAAACAAAGAGATAATTTTAACTTTTATATAAGGAAGCCAAAATTTTAAGCGAGCCACATAGAACTACCAAAAAACTTAATTACATATTAAGTGTATGGGCATTGGAACACTCGCTCTCTTTTAATCCACCCGGTTGTAACAAGAAGTAATTTAAGTGAAAAAAAGCTAAATAAAAATATTTCCAAAAAAGGAAAAAAATATTAATTTAGTAATTCATTATGCGATATTTTTTTTTATGCTTGACATAAAATGTCTGTTAGCATTTAACTATAAAAGGAAAACAACTTAATATGCAGAGTAACATAACGATCTGTTTTTTTTAAATATAAAACAACTTTCAATGTTTCTATTATGTTTAAACATAATCCAGACATGTAAAATTCTGTATGTAAGTCCTTTGCGCTGGTAATTTTTTGCAGTGTTTACTCATTTTACAACGAGAATTCAATGAACAATTCAATTTTACTATCATTATTATTTTATTATCAGTTTTGTTTGTTCAAATCAACTAAACGAGTTCGTATTTTCGAACGTTACATTACTGGTGTGGTATTGTTTTAATAATTAATTTCTTTTTTTTAATTTGAAAAACATTAGATTTTTGAAAAGTAGGTTATTAATAATGTTTCAATATTTATTTTAATGTTTATTTGGTACTACATTATTTATTATTAAGAACTATTTTGGATCTACGAAATTTAATGATTAAGACTTATAAATCTACTTTTAGAGACGTTAAATTTAAATAAAAATAATGTATATATATATATATAAGTAAATATAAGTTAGTTAAATTAGTTAGAAAAAATCTCCATTTATATACTATTATAACTTAGTACTATTTTATATTGTAAGACTGCCATTTTATTTCCTAAAAATGTATCATTTCAGATGGAAGAAGATCAACGACGTATGGATAGTGCTATGTATAATGTTTTAAATGATATTGATAAAAAATGTCTAAGAAAATTACAAGTAATTATAAATTTGAAAATTTTATTCTTCACATTTTTTTATATTTTATCAATAAAGTGTTATTTTAGATTAAAAAGATAAGGAATATTGAACTTATATAAATTCTGTAGGCAAATGTTGACATTTTATAACATTTAGAGATATCCAGCAAAAAAGGTTGAACTAACATTTTACAATCGTTTATGAAAGCTATTTAAAGTTTTAAACATTTATTTTTTTTGTATAAATTGTTATTTTAATTTGTAATTTCTGATAAAATCGTTAAAAAAAATCATACTGCTTCTTGAGGTTACATCGACAAAAATATGTTCTATTAGAATATGTGATAATCAGGAAAATTAATAATATATAGTTATGTCCCTTTTCTTTGGGAGTAACAATATAGTTCATTAAAACTGGTGAGAAATATTTAATATTAGAATAAAATATAACTAGAATTAAAATAAATTATTAGACTAAAACTGATTCAAACTTAAATATTTTTCTTTAAGTTGCTAACAACTACTTTTAACCCTATTATAAATAATTATTAATATTATTTGGTAGTTTGAATACATAATTTGTAATAATCCATAATTTTTAATGGAAAGGATTTTGCATAAGAAAATTTTTTATAATTCCACATCCTTAAGAAAAATATGTATTTTTAACTCATGATTATTTTGAGTGTCTACTTTTATAGAATTTAATCCTCAATTTCAAGTCTTAAATTTTAATAAAACTATCAATTAAAAAAATAATGAGATTGTTTTAAATTTATTTCCAAAATTCATTTATGAAAAATAAATTATGTATATAGTTCATTATATATCATATATCAATATATAATTAAAATGTAATGATGTGTTAATTGAAATAAAAATTATAGGAGCTGTCAGTTAGATCTGACTTACTTTGAATACTATAATTTTTTTTTTAATTTATTTAAATATATTCTGGATCCACCAGAAAAGGTTTAAAAAAAAACCCAGCATAGTGGGGTGGCGGCACAGTGGGGTTGTGGCATAGTTGGGTCCAGTATAGATGATATCTGACAGTGATTAAAATCACTATCATAAAAAACGCTTCGATGCAAATCTGTAGATAGTGTTTAATTAAAAAAAAAAATTTGTTAAAATAGCATATTTTTGAATATGGTAGCCATTTGCGCATAGAAGATAGGTCGTCGGGAAAAATTTTTTTTTTCATTTTATATTACATAAAATAAGTTTTAATTTGATATATGTTTAAAGGACGCAGTATTTCCAGAACATTTTCAAAAAATAAGTTGAAAAAGTTATTTTTTGTAAAAAAGTTACTATTTTAAATCCCCCCAGTGAGCAGAATAAGTGTTAGATTTTCAAAAAAAATTATATCAAAAAAGGGAAATATCTAAGGTTTCAATACAAAAAAATATTATTTTTATTTGTTCATTTTTGAAAAAGTTATGGCAGTTTCAAGTACAAAAAACATCCCGATAAAAGATAATTTTTATCGCAAACATTACATTTTTTTTTAATTTTCGACAACCATTTGCACATAGAAGATAAGATGTCGGGACAAATTTTTTTTTTTGATCTGATAGTACATAAAATAAGCTTTAATTTGATATATGTTTAAAGGACGCAGTATTTCCGGAACATTTTCAAAAAATAAGTTGAAAAAATTAATTTTTGTAAAAAAGTTGCTATTTTAAATCCCCCCCAATGAGCAGGTTAAGTGATAGATTTTCAAAAAAATGATATCAAATGAATAGTAAATATCTAAGGTTTTAGTATAAAAAAAAGTTATGTTGATTTTTCAAAAAGTTATGGAAGTTTTAAGAAAAAAAATTGAAAAAATTTCGAAAATTAGCGATTTTTAAATTTGTAATTTTTTTGGATATTTGCCCCATTTGCGGGGAACGAGGGAATTTTTTTAAATTTTAAGGGTAATGTCTTCAACTAGATACAATTTGTGATCTTTTGACGTATTTTTGAAAGAAATCGGTCCAGTGAGAGCTGAGAAAAAGTGGCAACAGCCATAAAAAAAAAAAAAAAACATCATAGTAAAATTAATACCTTCTCCACTTTGCATCGAAGCTAAAATATATAAAATATTTGTCATTATTTGTAAATATTTGTAATTTTATCATATCATTCATCCTATAGATAAGATTTTAAAAATACATTAATTCTAGATTACTTGAATTCCATTTGATTCTGGGTTGAAGTTTCAAAAACTTTTAAAGTAAAATATGTTCTATGAAAATAAATGATATATTATAAGTATTTTTTATAAAAGTAAGTATTAATTTTAATTAGAAGAAAAGTATTTATCCATTTAAAGCAAATGAATACTATTATTTTATTCTTAATTTATGTTTTAAATGTTAGTTGTTTTATTCAGCAATTTTTTAAAGCATTTATATGATTTTTTTATTTCTAGATATTTATATAAATTTAAAATTCATAGTAAAATGTGTAAAAAAATTTTTGTAGATTCAAATGCATCAATGTTCAATTGATTGTTGTAAAGATAATTCCAAGAATATTGAATCATTAGGCAAATGTGTGGATAGTTGTTCAAAAGAAGTGGCTCAATCTCGCAACTATATTCAAAATGAATTTAGTAAATGGCAGGTAAATAATAATTAACACTATAATATGTAAAAGTGTATGAATTGAAATAAATTAATTCAACCTCATTGAAGAAGTAGGATTCTCAGATTTCTGTTTGGAGGTATGCATAAAAAAACACTTTTCAATCTCATTCAAAATATATTTTCACCATATATTTATATACTGTAAAATAATAAAATAAATAATTATATAGGAATTTAAAGAGTAAAAAAATAAAGGATTTCAAATAAAATTATCAAATATTTTTTATTAATGTATTTTGTTTAATTATGTTAAAACTGATCAATTATGGTTGGACTTTTACACTGGAAAATTCAGAACAATATTGATATTCAAAATAATACTGATGATCTCTAGAATTTCATCATTATCATGTTTATCTTTAAAAGTTGCTTGCAAAAATGTATTTTCAGTTCAAATTTTATTACAGCAAAGAATACAACGTTGCATACAAGACTGTCAAGATTCAGTTACTGACAAGATACAAGGAAATCCCAGTGAAGCACAGGTTATAACAATTTTTGATCATTATTACTTAATCTTATATGAAAAGTAATATAGTAGACATTACCCTCAAAAATTGAAAAAAAATTCCCTCGTTCACCATAAATGGGGGAAACCTCCAAAAGAATTACAAATTTAAAAATCGCTAATTTTCTAAATTTTTTCAATTTTTTTTACTTAAAATTACTATAACTTTTTTAAAAATAATCAAATCAATATAATTTATAATTTTATAATATAATTTTTTTATATAGATGCATGATATCATTACCTTTCATTTGGTACATTTTTTTTTTATATGTGACCCTTTACTTGTCCACAGGGGGGGATTTAAAATGACAACTTTTTCACTAAAAATTAATTTTTTCAACTTGATTTTTGAAATTGTTCCGGAAGGTCTGACACTTTTATATATATCTTAAATTAAAGCTAATGTAATATACTTTATCATGGAAAAAAAAAATTTCAGACTTTATTTTATCTTCACGGTGAAAATGGCTACCAAATGCAATTTTTGTGTGAAAATTTTCGATTTTGTATTTTACATTTTTAATTTTATTATGCTATAACTATTTGAAAAATGTATGGATCAATACAATTTTTTCATGAGAAGTAGTATTTATATACATCTTTTATTCGACATACTGTTTTTTTAAATCGGACCATTTCCCTATATTTGAGGGTGGTTCAAATCTAAAAAATGCATGAAGAAAGTAGAACTTTTTCAACTTAACTTTTGAAAGTGTTCCGGATAGTCTGACACTTTGATATATATCTTAAATTAAAGTTCATGTAATATACTTTATTATGGTAAAAAAAATTTCGGACTTTATTTTATCTTCATGGTGAAAATGACTACCGAATGCTATTATTATGTGAAAATTCTCGATTTTATTTTTTACATTTTTAACTTTATAATGCTATGACATATTGAAAAGTGTATGGATCAACATTATTTTTTTATGAGAAATAATATTTTTTAATAACCCCTTTTTCATTTGACAAACTTTATCTTAATTAGGATATTAAAATGAACTAGCAGATCATGTAGCTTTTGGAATAATCCACCAATTTTTTTAAATTAAACGCCATCTTAAGATTTGCATCGAAGCGTTTTTTTTTGATAGTGATTTTAATCACTGTCAGATATCATTATACTTGATCCAACTATGCCACGTCACCACTGTGCCGCGACCCCCCTGTGCTGGTTTTTATTATTAGAATTATATTAATATTCTTCTTCTTCTTCCTCGCCTTATTCCCAACTACTTGGGGTCGGCCACCCTTATTCTAAACTTTCACTTGACACGATCTCCCACATCATTTATGCTCACATCAGCTGTCCTCAAATCACATTCAATAGCATTCCTCCATCTCTTTTTTGGTCTTCCCCTACCTCTTCTTCCTTCAACATTCATTTCTACAACTGTATTCTTATATGCTCATTCCTTGTTCTATCTTTTCTAGTCACTCCACTCATCCATCTAAGCATTCTCATTTTTGCTACACTCATTTTCTGCTCTACTTTCTTATGATTCGTCCAACACTCTAAACCATACATCATAACTGGCCTTATTACAGTCTTGTAGAATTTACCTTTCAGCCTCATTGGAATTCTTTTACTATTTAAGACGTCAGACGCTTCTCTCCACTTCAACCACCTGCATTTAATTCTGTGTCTTACATTCTCGTCAATACCACCATTCTTTTGCACAACTGACCCTAAATACTTAAAACTCTCCACCTCTCCTATCACGCCCTCGCCTATTGTCACTGACCTCCTCATTTCATCTACCTTGTGTTCTCCTTTGTCAAACTCTTACTCTATATAATCTGTCTTCTACTTATTCTTAAACCCTTTTTTTAAGAGCTGATCTCCACACCTCTAAACTTTGATTAATTTCCTCCTATTAACACTATATTATCAGCAAACAATATGCACCACGGCACTTCTTCTTGTATTTCTCTAGTAATTTCATCCATCACTATAGAGAATAAGTAAGAGCTTAAAGCAGAACCTTGGTGCACTCCTACTCTTACCCGAAAACCTTCTGATACTCCTCCTATGCTTTTTACCGTGGTACAAGTGCCATCATACATATCTTCTATTATATTAATGTACCTTTTCGGGACTCCTTTTCTCATTAATGCCCACTTTAAAACCTCTATTGGTACTCTGTCATTATATTAGTATTATTTATTTTATTATTTTTCAAGTTATTTTATTATATTTTTTACAGATAAGTAAATATACCAAAGAAGCTGAAGCTTGTGCCTCTCGTTGTATTTCAAAACATATTGATTTGTTACCACAATTGTCAGAAAAAATTGTGACAAATATTAATAGTCATTAAAAAGTTAATTATTATATTCATTAAATAATTCAATTGATATATCTGTTAGTGATTAAAACTAGAAATTTGTTAAAAATTATTGTTAATAAAAATCTACTANATGAATATATTAGAAAATTATTGTTAATAAAAATCTACTAGAAAAAAATAATTTTTTTATTTATTATTTTAAAAAACTATTAAAAACTAATATTTGAAGCTAAAACAAATTTTTTAAAAAATGTTAGTAGTTGTTAAAAACTAATTTTTTGATTTTAGTAAAAATGTTCAAAAATTGTATTGCATTGAGTTTTGTTTAAATTGTATATAATTTTCTAATATATTCATAATTTATGCGAGTGATAAAGCAACAAAAAAACTCATAAAAATAACAAAATATTGTTTGTGGCTAAAACAGTTCAGGTATAGTTTGTCGTATAGAAAATGTTTATTATTGTGAAGAAGTAGGTAGTTATGGTTCGATTTCGGATTTTAAGCTATTACTAGTAGAACATTGGGGTATATAGTTAAATTGGAAAAAAAAAGATTTTCATAAATTAATTAAAGTGTGAAATCAAATTCGTAATCTGACATTAATTTTAAAAATAATACTTGTCATTTTGTCAAAAGTGAATGTATCAATAAAAAAATGTTATAACTCTTCAGAACCTCTTTTTGCTTTTTCCAACGAGGGAGTGTGGTAAAAATTTTAAGACTACTCACAAAAAATTAATGAGTTTTTCTTGAAATATTTAATAAGTCGCCAGAAATATCAAAAACTTTTTGTCAAAATTGTCTTCCAATTTTTAAAACTAATTTTCTTAAATTTGGTACTTTTTTTATATAACATATTTGAAAATACAAATTCAATGTGTTTTAAATAAATGAAAATTCAGTTTCTGTTTAATAATAATTGATCATTTTTCAATGATAGGATCCTATCATATGCAAAAATTGTAATTTTTTATCATCTTAAAAAATTTTAATTAAATAAATGTATCTTTTATTTATGAAACATTTGCATGAGCGTAGTTTGAAAAATTGTCTGTAGGACTTTCATAATTTCGGATAATAGACCTGACAGTAAGCTTCTTTACCATATTATCATTTACAAAAAAATCAATTCATTTTTGGGTGCTATAAATGTTTCTATGATGACTGAAGCCTCCATATAAACTATGTTAATGAACATCTGATAAACTTTTTAATATACAAACTTGGAACTCAATAAATTGTAAAATAACATAACTCAATATTTATACAATTTAATTTTTCTGATATAAGTAATTAAGTTTTATTACATTTAAAATATCACTTTCTAAAAAATGTAATGTAGTATTAAATTTTGATCATTCAGTAAAATGTAAATTTAAAAAAATGTTATTATATATTAAAATAGCTTAATCACTAAAACAGTATTGGTAATATTTTTCAACAATCAAAAATTTATAATCTATGAATCTAACTCAATCTAAAAATCTATACTTAGTATTGAATTTCATAGCTACGCTACATTTAACAAGTTTAATTATTCTGGAATAAACTTTTCAAGTTAAAATTTTCAAATTCATTAGTCGCCAAGACATTTTACTTTTGTAAATAGTTTAACTTATCTTATTTTTAATAATTAAAAACAACAATTGTTGTTTAACAATATCAAAATATGTCTTATTGTTATTTGTTACAATATAATAATTATTTTAAATACAACAACAAGGAATTAATAATCAAAAATTCAATTATCAGCCAGTAAGCAAGAATTTTTTATAGCATGGTATACATACATAAAATTATTAATTTATTACCACTAGAAAAATAAATAATAAATATATTTAAAAAAAAAAAAAAAATAGTTAAAAATATACATTTTATAAGGCATTGGTAATAAATATTTTGAAAATTATTCTCAAATATAATACTTGAGATTTATAAAAAATAAATAAATAATATTTCAATTAAAATATATGCCTAGCTAAGGAAAAAACTTCAGGACAATAACTCTGAGCCACTAAACCATACGGTTGTTTTGATCCAATGAAAATGTTTGTATTTTTACTATGCTGGTTCCAGACATGAATACCTATGCTATTTTTTATACTATTCATAATTTCATCACTCATACTTGCATTAAAGTAGTTATACCAATCTTCCCAACGTACAGGACAAAAAGCATCTGAATCAAATATAGTAAAGCCCTGGCATTTGTCTTTATTCATTTCCACTATCTGAAAGTTATAATTAGCCTAATGAATTTACTTTATATAACCAATATAGAATCAATAAAAAATGTTACATAAACATGTTTAAAATTAAAATATAAATCTGATTAAAAATATAATTAAGTTTAACTTAAAAAATTACATTTTACTTACAGAATTAGTATTACACATTTTTTGAAGAGTCCTAGTTATAACTCCAGGTCCATTGTAGCCCCAGTTATAACCTCGATAGTTGTTAACATAATCATTAATTGCTGTATTTGCTACAGATTTACCAAGATCATCAGTACCAAAATTTAACACAAGTGAAGCAATCGAGTCATCTGATTCTTTACTCACAAAATTAGAAAAGTTGCCAAGTGACCTACAAAAAACATTATCAAACTCATTTATTAAAATAAAATAAACTATTTAAAATTAATTAAATTTTATATTACTTTAAGAGAACGACATCGAGATCTAAGTAGGTACCTCCAAATTTCCATAAAGTGAGAAACCTTAGTAAATCGCTAGTGTGAGACACAGGCCAATTACTTGTATATATTGTATTTGAAGTAACAAAATTTTGTGCCGGTGTATTTGCTGAATATGATCTTAAATTAACATACCTTAGATTGATATTTTTATATTTCTGTAATTTAATGAGAACTTCAGACTTATTTTCAACAGAACTAGGAGACAGATATAAAACAAAAATTTTAGAACTAGGATTAAGTCGAGCTGCAGATTCTATAGCACATCCTTGTCTAAGATTCAATTTGATGCCATTTTTGTGATTACATGATGTCTCGACAAAAAAAATACTGTTCTTAGCGACTTCATTAGAATTTAGTTCAATCAATGAATCAACATGAGGCTCTTCAAAATGACAATTCACCAAATATTTTTCTTTATTCAGAGTTTTTTTAATTGAATCGGAAAAATTTATATTGTATAGAAAAATTAATGGTATAATCAAAATAAGTACAATTTGTACATACATTTTTTTGAAGCCCAGCCAAACCATTCTTTTGATAACCTTCATTTAAATTACTATGCTATTAAGTTCATAAGATTTTAACGAGAATGATTTTTGAATGGGAAATATAGTCAAATATAAATACTTATAATAACTTAAAATATTATTTATTTAACCGCTTAAAATTAGAATGAAACGTTGAAGTTTCATATTCAGATGTAAAAATTAACTCATTCATAAAAGTGAACTAAGTCATTGTTGAAACAATTTCAAATAGAGCTTGAAATTTAGGCCTGGATATATCGATGCGCCTCTTTAAAATTTATCATTCCGTATTCAAAAAGTATTAGAGATTAGCACGGTTATCTCTCCATAGTCAAGATAACCGTTGTGGTTAATGATATCACGATTATAGACAGAATGATTACACACAGGTCTATACAATTCTACAGTAATTTATAGTAATATGAATATGATGATATTCATGATAATAACAATAATAATGATCGATCATAGTTCTCGTTTTCGTCATAGTACGCGTATTTGCATCGCCTTGTGTTTTTGTGCATTCGTCAAATGCACGTTAAAATCGCGCGATTTTTGAATTGATAATTCTGAAATTATATCAATGATAAATATAGATTATTAATCATTGTAAGACAATGCATTGTATAATTAATTTTAATGGTGGGTACTTGTTTTAGATATTATATATTGTTACTTTTATTACATTTTAATGAAGAATTACGATTGTGTATCTTATGAATTAAATACGAGTTATATTCACTAGTATACTGACATGTTTTTTCGTGTTCTAACATTGAATTAACAACGTTTGTGAAGTTGGCTCGCGAAATTAAACTGAAATGTAACCATTGACAAGATTTTATTTACCAAATTGGTTTATTATTTATATTAGGTTGCAGCATCAGTTTTTATTCAAAGGTTTTTTCATTAATAATTTTTAATTTAATGTAATTGATAGAAATCACTTTATTGCGTAGAGCAATATTACTCTATGCTTCATTTTGTATTCTGTTAGAACTCGACGTTTATAGACTTAATGTATCTTTTTAAATGTAAACTTTGTAAGCTATTCAATGACATAAGATTTATTAACCAACAACGTGGGCATGTGACTTAGAAAATTAATTTCCCGTGACCATATATAATGACATACGCTATATCAATATACCTGTGTTTAAACCTCCATGGAGGTTTATGTTCCCATCACTTGTACCCCTCGAAATTATGTTTTTCTAACAGCAAATGTGATGGGCTTTTCAATGATATAAGATTTATTCAACAACAACGTGGGCAAGTGACCTTACTAGGTACTTGAACGAAGAATTATTTATCAAATAATTTTGTTTAATTTGAATTTTGCAATTACACTATTCTTACAATGTTACTATTTATTGTTAAGATAGCATAAAATATAAAAATGATTTCAGATGAATAGTAGACAAATCATTTTGGCATTTTATACAAGGATATAATAGTTTTTACACTAAAGATTAGTATTGACACTTTGTATTTGATAATAATACTAGAGTAAAAAATGATGACTACTCTAATTTATAGATTTTTTCTCAGTAAAGAGTGATTTTTAAAGTGACAAATAATTTATTTATAACTGAAACGTGTATAATATAACATAATTAAATAGTATGACTTCCATAAATATTTCTCTATGTTATTTATTTAAATTTATTTTGACCGAAAAGAATAATATTATTATAATAATATGAATATAATGGATAAATATAAGTTGATTATCTTAAACGAAAAGATTAAATAAAAGATCAGTGTTGTGGACACAAACAAGGGTAGCTTACTGTTTTCCTATATTGTGATCATGACTAGTATATTATTACATAATTATTAAAATTTTAAATTAAATAAATAAATTCAGAAAAAAATAACTATATTAATTAAAACACTTCAATATAAATACTATAATAAAATATTATTATTTTATACATTATAAGTATTGTATTTTTTGAAAAAAAATGTTACAATAGTAGATACACTTGGGTGTCTTTTATTTAGGTCATTATTAAAAAAGTTTACTCCTGGAATTTTTATTTTTTCTATGAGATAAATAAAAGTTATTCCAAAATTTTTGGGGTCCTACCTTGATTTTTTACTATGCTGGTAAGAAATTGCAGTATTCCCATTTAAATAAAATGGGATTTTTTTTTTAAATAGTCTTGAAAGCTGGAAAAAAAAATCTTGAAAATATGACAATTGATCGGAAATTTTACGGATTTTTAGTTGAGTACTAAAAAACATACAAAATGTTTTTCGCATGCGCGAGGCCTATATATAATTAAATGTAGTGAATTTTTGTTATTTTCAATCAGCAATTATTTTAACCATTATAGGAGTTATTAATTTGATTTATTAATACAATATAATATTTGTGTCTCCGAGTTTTTAAACTACTTTGATTCGTCTAAAGATCACAAATCTAGTTGAATATATTATCCTTTAAGATTGAATAAATTCCCTCGTTCATGGTAAATGGGGGAAATTTTTTTGATTGCAACTAAACAAGCTTTTAAAAATTATTTCCCAACCCATACATACTAGATTATCAAAAAGAAACTTTTTTGAAGGTCAAAATCAAGTATTTGAAGAGTACTTCTCAATTTTCACATTTTGATAATATGGGACAATGGGATTTTGGTATAAAATCGTTAATTTTTCAAAGAAAATATTTTTTAATTACTTATGCAAATTCTAAAAACTATAATTTTTTGCAATAAAGTATATGCATAAAACATTTAAATATACCTTAAACGTAGTCTAAGCAGGCAATAATTATTTAAACAATGTTTTATCAAAATCATAGTTGGATCGAAAGATAAAATTACTGTCTTTTAGATTTGAGACAAGCTATAATACAGCCTTTATAATTACAGAGTGTTCAGTAAGTAAGGAAACAGTTCAATTGTTACAAACAATAAGAAATATAGAAATTTGTTTCCTTACTAATATCCTATATACAGAGTGTTCAGTAAGTCAGGAAACGGGTTTCTATTGTTCTCATTGTTTGTAACAATGAGAACAATAGAAACCCGTTTCCTGACTTACTGAACACCCTGTATATATATATTTATACAGTTTTTGTATATACAGGTACACGTGTTAATAGATGAATCATCGTGTAAGCCTATATATTATGTTTATTCATGAAATATACAATTTTATATTTAGAATTTGTATGGTTACTGTATACTGTTTTATTAAGTAATTTTTTTTATTAAAATTATTATATTTGCACATTTGCTAGTATTTTCTGTCTTAATCAATATTAAATCTTGAATAATGTAATTTAAAATGTATTTTTCTAAAAATCCATTATTAAATTACGTTAACAATTAAAAAGAGATATCATAAAAAACTAAAATTAACACAATAGAATCGCAGCATAGTTGGAACAAGTATAGATAATACCTGACAGTAATATATCAATATTATAAAAAAAAACCAGCACAGGTGGGTCGCGGAACAGTGGTGAACGTGTCATAGTTGGGTCATGTATAATGATATCTAACAGTGATTAAAATCACTATAATAAAAAACGCTTCCATAAACTTTTCAATAAGTTATAGCATTATAAAGTTAGAAATATAAAATATAAAATCGAGAATTTTCACACAAAAATAACATTCGGTAGCTATTTTCACTATGAAGACAAAATAAAGTCTGGAATTTTTTTTTTTTCATAATTAAGTAAATTACGTTAGCCTTAATTTAATATAAGTAGTTGTATAATAAATGAGCTGGATACCCCCCAAAACGGCCTCGACCGTTTCCTCTCCATAGGTGGACGGGCGGTGTAAACTGCCGGGGTGATATGGTGAACGGCATAGAGACCCCTTCCCATGAAATTAGTTTCTTACAATGGTATATGGTATTTTATTTTCGTGTAGAATAAATGCAAAAAATTAAATGTTGAAAATTACGTAGTTCGTGACTTGTCCATAATATGTAAATGATAAATTTTGAAACTCTATAAGTAGTGTTAAAATTATATTATCTTAATATTACCAAAAGAGCACAGTAAAAAAATAGTCAAAAAAAAGGTGTGATAGTATATCAAAGCAATAAAGTTTCATGTCACATTCAAGAAATTATTGACGCGTTAGATGAAATATTATATACTACACATGATCCGCTAATTAAAAATCACACTAATTTATTAAATTCGGAGATTAGTACAATAGAAATCCTTATGAGTTTATATATTTGGTGTAAAGTATTTATATACTACAGCATAGTAGTCGAAGAATCAACAATATCTATTGATGTAATAAACTTTATGAAGAAAAGTAATGGAGCTTTTCAGAACTTAGCCATTGCTCCTAGGATTTTATTACGAGTCCCAATAATTTAATATACTACAGAACGCAGAATAAATCAAAGAAATTAAAATAGTGTTGAAAATTACGTAGCTTGTGAATTTTCCATAATACGCAAATTGTAAATTTTGTAAATTCTATAAATAGCGTTAAAATTATTTCTCCATCATAAAATTTTTACCTGACGTTTTAATTGCCTAAAGGAAAGTACTATATAAATTTGAAAAAAATTCGTTCAGTCACTTTTGTGTAATGAGATGATAAAGATGGCTATTTTCAGCAAACCTTGAATGTTCAAGACCGTAAAACGATATAAAAAAAATTATAAATCGATTGATATGGGTTAAAAGAACATTACTAAAAGTTTCTGAAAAGAAAAAAAAATTTTAATAAAAAAATTTTTTGACCTTCAANAAAAAAAAAAAATGTTTAAATTATTATTATTCTGTAAGTAATTGAGTGGGTTATGATAAAAAAATCACCCTGTATATATATTTATACAGTTTTTGTATATACAGGTACGTGTTAATAGATGAATCATCGTGTAAGCCTATATATTATGTTTATTCATGAAATATACAATTTTATGTTTAGAATTCGTGTCGTTACTGTATACTGTTTTATTAAGTAATTTTTTTTATTAAAATTATTATATTTGCACATTTGCTAGTATTTTCTGTCTTAATCAATATTAAATCTTGAATAATGTAATTTAAAATGTATTTTTCTAAAAATCCATTATTAAATTACGTTAACAATTAAAAAGAGATATCATAAAAAACTAAAATTAACACAATAGAATCGCAGCATAGTTGGAACAAGTATAGATAATACCTGACAGTAATATATCAATATTATAAAAAAAAACCAGCACAGGTGGGTCGCGGAACAGTGGTGAACGTGTCATAGTTGGGTCATGTATAATGATATCTAACAGTGATTAAAATCACTATAATAAAAAACGCTTCCATAAACTTTTCAATA